AATGTGAGATAAAACAAAAAGACCGTGAACCTTAAAATTATTACAGAACTACTTTGTAAGTTGTACAGCAGCAAAATATATTCTAGGAGTCATTCTTTGAAAAAAATCACCTCTCAATGTCAGTTTGAAGAAAAGTTCTGTTGCCTGCCTACTGACTTTAAAGACATTTAATTCTGATTTGTTTTTTTTAATGAAAATAACTGTGATTGTATATCACTTGATGAAAGTTAAGTATGATAAAGAGATTGTACAGTAAGTAAACTTTTTCTTTGAGACCTGGGTTCAAATGTAGCTTTTATCACAAGTGAAAGTGAGTCTTGTAATCTTTCTAGTTTCCTTTATAGCAAAGCCATTTAACTCAACATCACTGTTGTCTTAAGAATGCTAAGCTCAAGAACATATTAGATGAAGTTTTTTGAAGTGAATGCATTCAGTGTCAATCATATTGTACCTGACTCCTCCTGTTCCCTCACTTTGATAATTACTAAACTTTTCCCTCTCAAAAAGAAAAAAAAATTAACCATAATGAATGGTTGTTCCTAGAAATAACAGTTTCAGATAGGCTTTTATGTATTTAGTTATACAGCACAAAACTTAAAAGGTTCCTTTGTTTTATTAGGAGTCCACATCTCCAGTTGTTTCACCACAGCAATCCCCACCAACCTCTCCACATACATGGAGGAAGCACAACCGCCATCCCAGCGGAGGAAATAATGAACGACCTCTTGCTGGACCTGGGCCTTTTTGGGCTCCATTTAGTGAAGCACAACCAGGTATAAATGTCTTCTGTTATGCTTCAGCTGTAACCCAAAGTTGTGGAACTCTTTAAATAAATAAATACAATAAAAAAATAGTTTAGGGCAATTTATCTCCATCTTTTTCAAACCTGGAAACTTTGTTGCAGATTCAAATGTCCACGTTCATGTCAGCAATGTGGAATCTGTGGTCCTGTGTATGGCGGATCCATTTCTTAGTGTGGTATGGGAAATGCTAGGAGTTTGGAGGGAGGGAGAGTATGAAAGTTTCCCAGTGGAAAGTTACAATATAAAATTGACATGCTGTTGAAATTGTGCAGGAGTCTGCCAGCGTTCCCAAGAACATGGGGAGGTCAAGGGAAAGATTTTGATAATATATTGTTTGCTTTAATTATGTTTCTGGTAGATTAGATGAATTGTCAGAATGACTAATTTTCTTAGCTTTTTTTTTTTTTTTCCTTTCTGTCTGTCTTTAAGTTTATATAAGCATAACTGAAGCCATGGTATCTCAAATATGTCAAGGTGGAATCATAACTTGTTTTTCAGTATATGGCTTTTCATGCTCTATTAATTGCTCTTCATTTAGCATGAAGATCATCACTGTTGTTTTATCTCTGTGCTCAAATTGAAAAAAGCTTTCCACCATAATATCTCGTATTTCTACAAGCTGTTTTCTTTTCTGGTATCTGCTAACCTTATTAAATTTGGGAGCAGCTGAGCAATTTAATTCAGCTTCCATTTTTTGATGATACTGCTAAATAATATGTTGCATTTTGTAGTTTCAAATTGAATTGTGATTTGTTTATTTCAGTCTTGATATTTCCAAATCAGTTCATTATCTTTCAGTATATTTGATTTTGTAGTTAAAACCATCGATGGAGGACCACGTGTTCTGTTGTTAGAATTGGTTGAATTATCAATTCTTAAGGAAATAGAACTGGTTTGGGTGGTCAATTAGACATGAAATAGGTTGTATGGAAGGGTTTATGTCTGTTTCTTGAATATTATTTGCTAGTGAGTGCTAGTCAATTTAGTGTTAAAAATATTATTAGTCTGTTCATTGTATATATACATAGTTGTAGCACTTTAGTACAGGCGTTTAAACATACTGTTAATGATTTTTCAGCTTTTAGTCTCTGGAACTTTTTTGCATATTTATTGGGAATTGCATTTCTTGCAGGCTGAAATACAAGTTTGTCTAGTAGCTGCATTCTGATTTGTGAAGTTCTTCTAACTAATGAAGTCAAGGTTTAAAAGAAAGCGTGGAAACTACTCCTAATGATTGAACCGTTTTCAATGTTTTTTTCTAAAAATAAAGTTGTAATGCCCTGTTAATATTGCAATGCTTTCCCTATGATGTTTAGCAGATATATTTTTCAGAAGTCTGAAAAGCTTTCTGAATTAGCTCAACTTAGTCAATTTTGTATTCCACACTGAAATACATTCTTAGCGTGTTTAAAATAATTTGGACATGCTATTATAGAATTGCCTGTTCTGTCAGTGCTAATGTTGTAAGAATGGATTTTCTCATCATACTAGCTTAACAAAGACTGTCATCCTGATTTACTGTAGGTGATGCTTTTTCCCCATGAATTATTCCTTTGAATTCTAGCTGAATTTTAGACAGCTCCTCATGCTTTTTTCCCTTTCTCTTGAGGGTGTTTTTTTAAGGAGCATATTCTGTAGAAAAATGGAGTAGTTCTGATTTTTAGGTAGAATCAGGTAGGCTGTGGGTTACTTTTTATTAAAATTAGGAGTGCAAGCTTATCTTGATTCTGAGGCAAGGTATGCTGTCAATCAGTCTTGAGAAATCAGATAATTTGCAAGTATGTGACATTATTTTCTTAGAATTTAGGGCAGGACTGTTCCATTTCACTTGTGATCCAAGAAAAACAAGAACCCAGGTCTCTCTGATTGTATAACAGTAGGTGAAAATTAGGTTTGAGAGTAATGGTGAGGTGGTCAGCTGAAAGCATGGAAGCTCAAATGTGAAAATATTTCTGATTGGTCTAATAACACATAGTATATTGTCTTTAACAAGAAAAGCAGCAATCAAATCATAAATCGGTTTTGTTTAAAAATATATATTTACAAAGCTTCTGACTTGTACACAGTAAGGAGACTCCAGTGTGTTGTCATGCTTCCACTGTGAGTAAAACTAAATGATGCTTTTGGTATTGAAGTGACCCCATTAAAAATATATATATTTTTTAATATATATATTTGTGTGTGTGTGTGTGTGATTTTTTTCTTTAAATAATGGCTCAATGACTTTTTTAAAAAAATCTTACACCTCATTTTGTACCAGAAGTCTAAATTGCAACTTCTAGCTGAAGTCCTCAATTTCTTGAGGAAGCAAACCTGTTCTTGACAGGGCAGAACTCGGATTTTAGATTTTTTTCCCTCACCTTTTTGTCCAGTATTTCGATTAGGATCATGAAGTATCTCTAATACTTCATAAGAAGCTGGAATCTGAGGCATTGCCATGAGTTCAGTTTGCTTATACATAACTGACCTAATAGATGAAGCCAAAGTTTGTTATCATCTTGTGTTTGAGTCTTTTTGTAAAGAAGGTACCGAAGGGGCATGTGTATTTTACTTTAATATCAGGAATGAAAAGTTTGGTGACAATCATTTATCACCTGCGTGAAATGGAAGTTTACTTAGGTCTAATCCTTAAATGTCAGTTAATTTCATTAAAACCTGAGTCTCTCAAGTCTTCCATATGTTTGATTTATTAAGAATATATTCTTAACATAAAGCTATTATTTAAAAATCGTGTTGTATCTCAGTTCTGGTTTCCATCTCTGATCTTTCTTGAACATTTCTTCTAGATCAGTCTTCAGAGAACAATAAAGGGGAAGACTGAACTTTTTATATTATAAGGCAACTATATATCTCAGATGAGAACCTGCTATTCCTGTAGTTATATAGGAGAGAGAAAAAATTTGCATGCTTTTCCCTTTTCAGCTCACTTTACGGTCCAACTTCAGCAACTAGAAGGATGCTGCCTGTTGCAAACTTAGGAAGAACAACCCCTTCCTCATCCCCAATCTCAAATGATAGTTGAGTAGCATGTCGGAATAGGGGGTAAAAATTACTTTTAAGTTTGCTTATCTCGACAGAGGAAAAAGAGCAGAATTTTTATGTTGGTGATATCCAAATACTAGTTTCAGGCTAGTCGAGAAATATGAGGTCTTCTGTTCAGACACAGAACCTCAACCAGCTTTCTTTGCCATTACAAGACAGCTCTATTTTGATGTCCAAATATGTATGAGCATCTGCAGCCCCATACCACACTGATTTATTTTCCTCCTTAAGAGTAATTTTACTGCAGTTCATGAAATCAGGAACTAAAAAGGTTCATGGAAGATATCTACTGTGGTTAGCAGTTCACTCGCATCTTTACAGTCCTAAAATACTATGCTTGCAGGGTACTGAATGGTGCTTTGTCTCCTAGTTACTATTTCAGTAACTATTGATAGTTGACCTTCATTTTTACAGATTAAGGATTGTTTTTACTTAGATGTGCTTATTCAAGGAGGGAAGAGCTCTACAACATTTTGTCTCATTTCCAGAATTGCGCTCCCTCTAGTTATGCTTCATCACAAATCAGTCATGAGGAAAGCTGATGCTCATTTAAAAAGTTATTTGAAAATTTAGTTTCAATGAGTAAAATCCACACTTGCACAGTGTACAGAAAAGTACAGACTACTCGGATGTTATCTGGATAGACCATTTCTTGTATTTCTTTGCAGCTTAAAGGGCAACTTCCCTCTCACAGGAACTGAGAGCCATTCTCCACAAGTACTCAGTGTGTTGGTAAGATGTGTAAGCTACAGGAGAAGGATATATAGCAGTCACAGGAATTCAGGTTATGTCTTCATACTAAACAGTGCATTAGACTTCTCCAGTTAGTTCAAATCTGACATCTGATAATCAGTCTCAAGCCTACTGTCCATTTAAAATGCGGTTAATGCTTTCAGCTTCCTTTCTACTACCTCAGTATTCTCAGTCTGGTTTTGTAGTTGACAAGGAGAAACTGAGAGGTGACAATCTCTAAATCAAATGTCAAATATATGTTGTTTTGATGCTCTGAGAGTTGAGTATCAGCTAGTGGCAATGGATTGAGTATGTCTACAGCTACCTGTCTGCAGTTAATCATGAAGTAACTTTTCTTCAACTTTCCCATCCTATGCCCTAATAGTTGCGTCACAGAGTAAATAACCAGAGCAGTAAAGCAGGAGTATTCTTGTTGAGATGGTTTGAACAGGAGACAAGAAAACCATTCTTGCAATACTTGCAAAGTACTCAGAAGGTACAACCATTTGCTGCTGCTGTTGGCTTCCCCATTGCTGTCACAGTACTGTTTTGAAGGAGGTGCTGTGCTAAGAGGTGTACAAATTAAACTGCACTAAAACAAGCTGTCGGAAGAAATAAAGGCAGAGGTAAATGTATATAGGCTTAGTGGTGGTAACCTCAGTGACTGAGGGACAGAGAAGGAGAAAACCATTGCATCGCATCATAAGTGGAGTGCAGCTTCTCCATAGGAGAGATAGGAAGGACTTGCATCGATGTTATTGTCTGTCAACCTAGTGAGACAAAGTGGAGAGAAACTCTGAGCTTTTTCACATGTTTCTTTTTAAAGTTTTAGACTTAGACTAGCTATTGAGGAAGAACTTGAAGAATTATGAAACTCATTGTCTTTATTCTCAGCAGTTTTGGATAAAGCCACCAGAAGCTCCAGATCACATCAGGAGCTTCTACAAGTGGAAGGCAGATTATGGAACAAAAGGAGTATTAAATGGGGGTTTCTTATCCACAGTTTGTTATCCTAATAAAAGCAAGCTTAAAATAATGTTGATGTTACTCTGGTATCTTGACAAAATTCAGAAATAACGTAACCTCTCAATTTTGTATATTCAACTTACCTAAAAGATTTTTCAAGATGTTCTGTCTCCTACCAGAAATCTAAGCATATCTCATTTTTATTCCACTTTAAGGTTAAATTCACTGTACACAGATCAGGCTACTGTATGTAGCAAAAGAAAATAGACGAATCCTCTTGTTGCTTTCTCCTGGGGAAGAAAGTCAGTTAGGAGTTTAAAGAATAATTGCCACCTGCCAAATGTTAAATAGTAACTCTGTATACGAACAATATTAAGGGTTACTTTAGGTGTTAGTCACCAGTGTGCCTCACTGATTTTTAGGCTTTTGTTGACTACAGATTGGGTACCGGAAGTGTCATCAGTCTCCAAGTTCCTGAAAACGTTGATGATTGTCAGCTCCATAGAGAATACATTACCTGGACTAAATTGCGTGGACTTCAGGGCTATGTTTTTAGTCAGCAACTTGGCAATAAATTCCTGGGGTGTGTTGCTTGAATTTGGATCCGAGTGGAAGGATTGAGGTTATAATGTTGATGCCTTATTCCTTGTTTGTGGGTTGTGTTGAATGTTTAGGAAAAGTCACAGAAAGTTGACCTACTTGTAAGCAAGTCTGCTTCTACCTGAGAAAGAAATTACTAAGTTTTGCTTTCTGAGAATAGTTAAACAGATCTCAAGACAAAGCAAGTCGTTGTACAAGAAGAATAAAAGATTCAGCGTAACAACTGCTCTTTAGGGTTCAGGAGCTCAACGTTTCTTTTACGAGTCAGGAAGTAAACTCGAGTCCTCTGATTCTTCTAGAAATATTCCAGATAGTTTGTTTTACCGCTGGTTTGACTCAAGTTTTTAATTTGTAATTGTAACTTAAGGGAGTTTAGAGTCGTCTGTACAGCGAACAGTGGGTGAGCAAATGTTTCTATAGTTGTTGCATCATTATTATTTTAATATTAAGTTTTTGAACATCAGCAGTGTTTCAGAAGAAGCTATAACAAGGCTCTGGCTGAATCTCAACTATTGTATTCTAGATACTTAATACATTACAGCTGTCGGTCCTGTATATGGATGTCTTGTACTATTTATTGACTGTTTTTAAGCAGTTGAGTAAGTTGATCTAGAAATTATTTGGGAAAAAAATGTAATCTATGCCAAGAGAACTGATTCTTAAGATGACTTTCCAAGACTGAGCTCTTTGAATGACAAATCAAAACCTTTTTAAAAAAAAAAAGTTAAAAACAATAAAGCTGCATGCTAATATCAAATACCACTTTAAAATAACTGCTTGTCCACACAAGTTATTCATTTAAATTAAGTGAAAGCGTGGAGTATTGATTAGCTCATTCAAAACCATTATATATGTAAAACCCAGTTTTAGTTTTACAAATGTTGCAATAAGCTTATTACTTACTTTCTTTTTAGTGCAGATTTAAGTTGGCCAAATATAAACATGTATATGAGTGAGTGGCTGGGAGGTGAACTTTGTCACTTAAGTGCAATTGGATTTCTGTTTCACAATTCTACAAGTATAGAAGAAGGTTTATACTCTCAGGCTCATAGAGGAGCTTGTCTCCTGTGACTGCTTTTCCTACCCAGAGATTTCAGTTTTCTAAGGCTGTATTTTGAAAAGGAATTATTTCTTCTACTTTCAGGCTCATCTACTACTAGTGATCCCGTATGGTCTGGCCATTCACCACCACCTCATCAAGAAAATTGGGTCAGTTTTGCAGATACCCCACCAACCAGTGCTCTTTTAACCATGCATCCTGCTTCTGTCCAGGTGTGACACTTTATTGGTATTTGATTTGCTTCATTCAGGTTGATGTTGCAATTCTTTTTTTTTTTTTTTAATATATTTTTTTTTCACTGCAGTTGCTTACTATGGAACTGAGCTGTAGTCCATTTGGTGCTATTTACCAAACATATTTCGTTCATTGAGTTGACTTCATTTGGAATGATCAGAAAGTTACTGATTTAAAAATGTCAACAACCGTGACTTTAAAATATGTGTGCTTAGCTTTTTTCTTTTTTGCATATGCTCCATACTTTTGTTTTTGCTTACATAATTGCAGTCATTCCTACCCATTTATATCAGTGTGCAAAAATATCCTGTCATCCTGTAGATGAAATCTGCTGATAGTTTCCTGCAGTTTTTAAACTACTGTGAGATTTAACTCTGCTTTGCTTTTTGAAGGCAAGAAGTTTATAATTCATAGGAGCATTCTGGGTAGATGATACTGAGGAAAAATATTTCATTTCAGGACCAGACAACAGTACGAACTGTAGCATCAGCTACAACAGCAAATGAGATTCGTAGGCAATCAAGTAGTTATGATGATCCCTGGAAAATAACTGATGAACAAAGGCAGTATTATGTTAATCAATTTAAAACCATTCAACCTGATCTAAATGGATTTATACCAGGTAAGTTCTTTTCTAAAAATACAATTATGGGTGCAGCCATTTTGTTACAAAGACAGTATTGTGTACGTAGGGTTATATACTATTTTGAAGAAAGTTCTACGTTTTACTGATACCACTCTGGTAAACTTCAGTGTAATTCCAGAAGGGACTTGCAGTTTGACTTTTCTTCATTTAACCATTGTAATTAGTGCTGTTCCCCCTGCCCCCCAAAGCTTTGTTAAGTAGCCTACCTCCTTTACCATAATTTTCTAAGTCTTCTAATGATTTAAACTGCATTTAAATATTAAGTATGATTTTTATGATCTTTCAGGATCTGCAGCTAAAGAATTTTTCACTAAGTCAAAACTACCTATTCTTGAGCTTTCTCATATTTGGTGAGTGTGTTATATCTTTATTTGGATAATTATTTTGAAGGATGACAGCTGTCTGGCAATCAGTCATTTAATAATCTACTTTCTAGAAGTTATTCCATAAGCACAATTTCACTTCTGCTTCAGTGTTTAGTCCTAATCACGTTTATGCCAGTATTTTTATGGACTTATGGATCTGGGCAAAATACTATTTACAAAGTATTATGAGCTTTTGAAGAAATTTCAAACACTTCACAGAGTAAGTAGTACTTTGAGATCTTTTAGTGTTAAAGATGCATTGAGTTATAAATAGTAAATCACTTATCTATATTTAATTAAGTGTCTTAGCTAGTAAGAGTAAATAGAATATGCAAAAGTAAATATTTTTAAATGCTGGTGTTAGCTTCGTGACAAATTTAGTTTTGACTTAGCGCAAAGCTTGTCTTTCATTGTATTTTGGAGTGCCTGCTGCATTGTTGGGTGCTATCATTGAGCGGCTTACCTTGGCAGATTTGATCTTTCTTTTAAATGGTATATTGGTTTCTCAATCAATTATTTCCTCATTAAAATGAATCATGTTGTCTCAGCACTATAATTTCTAGGCACTGCAAGAAAATGCTTCATTATACTTTTCCATAAATCTGAGGCAAATAATATTGCATAGTACTGTCTTAAATGCAGGGAACTGAGTTTAAAAACCAGAAGAGAGAAAAGTGAATTTAAATCTTATTCTTAACCTCCAAGAAGTGCCATTAATGAGTGCTCATATTCTTTGAAGAGTAGAGCATATAGCACTAATTACATGGTGTTAATAGGGTGAAATTGACTGTAATCTGCACTCTTTGATCTTCCAGGTAACACAGCAGAAGTATGTCTTTTGGAGATTAAATAACCTTAAGAAGCTTCATTTTATTTATACTGAGCTTTTCTTGTAGGGAACTGTCAGATTTTGATAAAGATGGTGCACTGACTTTGGATGAATTCTGTGCTGCTTTTCATCTGGTAGTTGCTAGGAAGAACGGATATGATTTGCCAGAAAAACTACCTGAAAGTTTAATGCCCAAACTGATTGATTTGGAAGACTCTGCAGGTAAGACTTGTTTCAGTACCAAAATTTCACTATTCAAATGACAATATAGTTAAGGGTACAGTATAGCAGCAGATAAACTGAGCATAATGCTTTATTCGTCATAAATCAAAGCAGTGTGTGTTTTTTTAGAAACCTTAATCAGCGCTCAGAATTAATCCAAGCACATACATGTTTCTGTACAGAGATGTGCTTTTTAGGTATAGTGCATATGTGGACTTATTTGGAAATACTGCCTGTGTCTTTTAAAGGGGGTTTAAACAAAACAAGATTATCACTGTGTGGATTTATTCATGATCAGCTATTGAATTCCAAATTCCCAGTCCAGCCATACTTCAAATTTACTTTCAAATAAACATGCTTCTTGTTTGCAGTCAATTCTGAAAATAGAGCATGAGCTTCTAAGTCTTGAAGGTACTTAGCAAATATTCCCATGCAAGACGAGGTAGGATGGTTTCATAGTTCTAAAGTACAGGATCAATAGTGCAGAATTTTTTATTTTACTCCTGACTTGGCAGCAGCATTTATACTTGTAATACGTAGTTTTTCTATGCACAGTCCTTTACCTTTGGATGCCCTCAGATAAACTATTGAATGTACGAGCCCTGCTTCTTAATATTGATCAGAAACACTTGAATTCCCATGACTGAAAAGCGAACTACTGTTCCATATGAAAGTGGCATTTAAAAATGGAGTGTTTGTAGCCTTTTTTGCATGTCTATTATAAACAGATAGAGGACGGTCAGTGTTTTTAAATTACTTTGTAAATAGTATATCTGCATTGAATGCTGAATCTTTGTAGAGCTGGGGATATGATAATCTGTGTTAAAATTAACTTTACAAATAATTCATTACAAAACTCTCCATACTTATCAAACTGGATGCGTTCCTGCACTTTGCAGACCTAGAGGCACACAGCCTATGTAAAAGCCTGGAATAAAACTCAGATGTACTAACCCCTTTCAAGCCCTCTTCCCATTTTGTACCACATCGTTTCCTATTTGTAGAAAACTAACTGCTTCTCAGCTGTTCTTAAAGATGGTGAGGCTTTGAAATTTTAAAATAAAACTTTACAACCTTTTTACTGTTGTAGTTATTACCAGTTTATTATAGCCAGGGAGGATAGATCTTCTCAGGTGCCATTCATTACTAATAACTTTGTATTTGGGGGTTTTTTTGTTTTTAAAAAAGCAAGATATGTGAATAGAAAAAAAACATTAAGACAGCTACAGAAGCCATGATGTAAAAAGGTGGAAATTTAATTTCCATATTAGATCACTTTTTAGCAAACAGTCTTTGCTTTGGAAAGTCAGGTTATACTGTGGGTGTACAGGTTTTCTAGTTTCTTAGAATGTTATTTCTTCTTAGTAAACATGTTAATGGAGTAGTTTCATCCTGTGTTTGTAGTACGTCAGAGAATGAGGTTGTAGGGTTTTCTCCTGGTAATTATTGACAAGTTTTTAAACTAGATACTGTGGCTCTTAAAACATCTGTTTTAATAATTAAACCATTTTTGTGGGAGTAGCTTGGCCCCTCAAGGGACCTTTCAGCAGCAGTCAAAAGTAATTGTTTTCAGTATGAGTAAGCACATTACTATGGCTAAAATATTCATAAGAAATATCTAGAATGAGTTTGGATGAATGCCTAGCAAATGTGTAAAACTCAGCTACTCCATCTATTTTAATATAAAGTTGCTGGCCAAGCAGCATTGTAATAGGAAATGAAGTAATATGCATTTGTATAAACCATTGTTATAACCATATCTACATCTACAACTGGGCTTTTATAGCCTTTTATTGGCATAGTCAGTCTGGAGGGTTTTGTGTCATTTTTAACTGAAGTTGTCTGGAAACCTTAAATTGCACATTAAACCAGAAAGTTTTATGGATTTTTTTTGTTTTAGAGCCAACTTGGTTAATATAAAACTTGTTGTGGACTTACTTTCATGAAATATAAAGTTTTTTAAATCTAAAGAAAAACTGCTTCTAAAAGTAGAAAAAATATTTTTCCTTCTGGTGTTAAAGGAAAGTTATCTGATATGTTCTGGTGAATACTGGAACGTTACCACTGTGTAAGCTATGCTTTAAAAAATTGTCCAACTGATATCTGAGCCTGCTGATGTCATTAATAGCTGAAATAAAATGTGACAATTCTTGCAAACTTGTTCATGTAATAACATGAATTTTTTAGTCTAAGCCACTGCTAGTGGAAGTGGATAATCTTTTCTAGCACCTAACATGCATGGAATAAAACTGCAATATACAAGCACCTTTGAAACCCCCCTCTCCATTTTGCACCACGTTTTTCCTGTTTGTAGAAAACTAACTACTACTCACCTATTCTAAGTAACTGCTTCTCACCAGAACTTCTGAGTTAACTAAAAGACTTGGGAAAAGTTATTGATTTGGCTATACCTTTATTTGTAGTTATAACAGTGCAAAAACTCCAGTATACATTGAGTATTTTAATCCAAATAAAAAGCTACTAATAGGTCCATTTGCAGGATAGTGTGCAGGTTAAGTTATACAGGTGCAACTTGACTGTAAGTCAGCCTGGAGAAGTTAACTAATTAAATTTTTGTAGTGTTTCCGTAGAAGCTGTGTTCCAGTAAAGCCTTTTCAAGAATAGAAACTGTACTGGCGCTAGAGTATCTTTTTGAGTGTGTTTTTTCATAAGATGCAACTTTTTCAAAGAAGGAAATTGTATTGGTGATCCTCTCCTGCTGCCTGAAACCTTAGTGTGAATAACACTTTCAAACTGTTCAAGAAGGTGAATTAGGTGTTTGGGTTTTTTTTTTTGTTTTTACCTGCTATGTATCAATTTTAAACTTTATTGTTAAAACTCCTGAACTAAAGATAAGTTTATTCCTGTCCTTTTGTGGGAGCTTTTTCCCTTGTTATTCCACACTGCAGCTCTCTGCTGAAGTTTGCTATCTCTTGTATGCAATCGTGTATGTGTTGCTCTTGCATGAAGCATTTGTATAGCTGGTCATTTTCATGGTAGAACAGCAGTATGGTCCTCCAAAAGATTGTGGTCCATTCCAGCTGAAAATTGGTAAAAATAAAATTAAAAAATGGTTATATGTTAATATCTTTCTCCTGACTAGGGAGAGAAATACAGGTTTTATTCTTTGAGATATTTTTTAAGTTCTTGGAAATTGTAATCTTAATTGCAATTTTGCAATACACGTGAATCATTTTAGTATTTTGAGTTGGATCATATACTTGAAAGTATTATTTGGATTGCAGCAGCTGCAGCTAAACTTAAGATTACGTTGTGCTGTGGTATTTGTAGTTACATAATGTCAGGTCTTCCGAGTGAGCAAGATATGTCTGGGTAAGAATCTCTAGAGGAAAAAACTGCAGTGGATGAATTTCAGCATGAAGTCACACAGACTTTTCTGTTTAAATGTATATGCATTTACTTTATCGATTGAGTACTGTTGCTAGCAACTGTCTTGACAGAATAATTTTTTGATCTGCAGGTGAAAAGATTAGTAGTCCCAGTTCTTATTATGTAAATAGATTTGAATATTTTCCCTTAAAAAAAAAAAGTCAGTGCTTATCTGAGTTAAGAAAAGCTACCAACCCTTTACGAAACTCAAGACAGTTTTTACTTCTCTTTCTGTAAATTTTTGTTTACAGAAAGAAAACAATTGTTTTTTGTTTAGATTGCTGCAACAGTGCCCTTTCTTTTTAAGAAAAGGAAAATAAATTAGTTTGTAGCTGATATCTTCCTTATTAATAGACAGTAGACTGAGACTTCTTCCAAAAATACTTTGTTTATGCAGGATGCTTTTGTTATGAAATAAAATTTTAGTCTTAATTTGTTTTATTTCTTAGTAAAAACATTTTTCAGCATTTTTACAAAAGATAGCATATAATTTAAAATTTGCTGCTTATCAGTGATATTTTATGGAGAATCTGCCATGCTTTGTGTCTTATACAGCTCAATTGCTTTAATTATTTGACGTTCTCCATGTAAGTCCGTGGTTTGTGTAGATCTTTGTAAATTCTCTGGATTACAAAAAGCTGGACAGCCTATCCACTGCAGTTTTCAGACTTATCTTTGGACCTTGCATTTAACAGTAATCATTCAGTTAACTAGTATACCACAGTTAAAATCAGAATTTTGAGTGATTTTTTTTTTTAACTCATTAGAAAATTTTTACTCAGTTGGCACTTCAAAACAGTTCATATGCACTAGGTATTCTCAAAGCATTACCACTAGCATATTTTAAACTCAGTGGCCGCAGTATGCCATCGTGACTACATGCTGACGCAGGCTGCCAGCTTGCTGTAATTTTTGTTTTATTGCTGAACTTTTTTCCCCTGAAGGAGGTGTTAGGTGCAGCTTCTGTTTTGAATAATATATAAATTTATTTTTTCTGAAGGACAGCAGTATGAGATGCTAGGTACTTAACGTAATTTTAGGAAGGTTGAGGCCTGTTACCTGGTTGTTCACAGGCAGTTTACAAGACCTTTGATGTTTTAATACAGGTTGCAGGTTACTCTGTGTGTAGTAGGTGGATGTGGGTGTTTTTTGTATGTGTTTATATGTCAGTAGCATCTCAGACTTCCATTACCTCGAAATGGGATTATTAATTCCTTTATGGGTTTCAGTGAGTTGGCTATTCTTTTTGGTCTGGGTCTCTTGCTGTCCCCACTAGCACTTTGGAGACCATGGCCTATTGTTGACTTTCCAAGCTGCAGTTGGTCACCACTGACTATTCAAGTGTTTCCAGTTTTAGCTTTTCTTGGGGGGCACATTTACTGATGCGTTTGTTGTTCTGGCGGGGAGGGGTCTTAAGCCACGTACCACAAATCCAGTGTCAAATTGAGTCATGAGTTTCTTCCAAATGGAAGATAGCCAACAATATTATGCTGTCAGAGCATGCTGCAGAGTTCAGCTGTTCAAGAGCCTGAAACCAGTCCTTTTTATGTAAATCAATCTTTGTTACACTGTATCATATATTCTTAGTGACAGTCATCTTCAGTCATGTATCTAATTATTAAAAAACATTAAAAGCCATCCTTTTTAAGTGGATAACTTCAGTTAAGCTCTTTCATCTTGTGCAATATTTTGCCTTACTCAGAGTTTAATTCTTTGGACTGTAAACATCCCGTTAGTCTGTCTAGCTACTTATCAGTCACACTCTCAACTACCCCTCTTACTTAAAATGTGCAATTGTAATATCAACTTCTGTTTGAAGCTTTCATGGTGTTGCTTTAGCCTGCATTGTTAGATCTAGCAAATTAAGAAGACACTCTAAGCAGGATTTCACTGAGTTATGCAGAACACTTAATCCACTGTTCACATTTTGTTTACTCCATCGTATTGTAATTTGGACAGAACAAAAACAAGTGTGCAGCTTCATGAAAATTTATATAACTTTGAAGAAAGGAGGGTTTCTTCAAAGGATTGTAGTTGTTGAAAGCCCAGGGAAAACTAGACTTACAGTAATGTAAAATGTGATGGCTGCTAGACTGGTTCAGTTTGCAAAATACAGTGAATTTAAACACCAGTGTCTTAACTGAAAGGCTTAAAACAGAATATTTTTTGGAGAATAATCTTTTAAGTGAACTAGTTGTTTACTTAATCTCTCTTTTCTTATTTTTTTTTATGTTTGCCTTGATATTATTGTTGCATTAACCTTTTGAACAAGGGAGTACTTTATTCTGTAAGATAAAATGTCTCAGTGGTTCTGAATTTGAGGTAATAAACATCAGCGTGAAATTGCTCATAATGTAAGTATAAATTATATTTATTTCTACATGTAATCAGTGTTCATGCTATTTAAAACCTCGAGCAAAGGGAGATAGTGTGACACAGAATAATCTTCAAAGTCTGCCTTTCAGGAAGATCCTCAAAATGAGGGCAGTGCCTTATAAATAGCACATTTGACTTGAGTGAGTGTATTTTGTCTGCTGCTAAATGTTTACTTGGAAAAGTTATAACCAAAAGGTACTTGCGCTTTCTGTGAGATGGGAGCAGCTTTTTCTGAGAGTAAACTGAATGCAATTCATGATTTTAGTTTTATAGTGGTTCCTGTCATTTCAGAAGCTGGGGAACAGACTGGTGAGGTAGGTTACTCCAGCTCTCCAGCAGAAGCTCCTCCAAGCAAGTCACCATCTATGCCATCCCTAAACCAGACCTGGCCAGAACTGAATCAGAGCAGTGAGGTTAGCAAACACTTTTATCTAAGAATTCTTTCCTTGCCGAAGTCAATAACTCAATTGTGTATGCATCATAAGTGGACTATTGATTACAGATTGAATGCATTGACAAAAAATTCAGCCCTACAATAGACCTTAAAAAACAGGAAGGTTCTGCACGTGTTAAATTGTAATAAAGGTAATGCTTTCTTTCTGATTCTCCAGTCCTATGGTGAGACAAGCTACTGTTTAAAATGTTGTGTCAGTAATAGTAATTAAGCTTTATATGAATCATAAAATGATCTTGTTTCATATTTATTGGAGGTTTAATTCATTCTTTATTTCTTGGAGATTTTACTCAAGCTTTTATAGACGCAACTTTTGCAAAACTGCAAAGTAAATTTCTGACAGATACGGACTTTGTGACCGTTTACTGTGGAGGTGAATATACCTTAAAATGTCAAATACCTTCCAGTAAGGTAGAGAAGCTATAGCTCTGGGTTTATTTCAGAAGCACAGATTCAAAATTGAATCTGAAGCCAACCATTGGCTAAATTCATTTAAACATTAACATTTCTGCTATCATGTACTGTTGGTATTCATTTTATCGTCTAGATGAGATTTATTTGTTTATATAGTAAACCTGTACTTTGTCAGAATTTGAAACCTAAATTAGCCAAGAAGATTCTTTCGTAAGTATCCTTTGATTAAAAATATCTGTAAGAGTTTCATTCTATTTTAACAGATTTTTGGCTTTGCAATTTATTCTGAATAAACCAGTGTTTTATTCTGAGAGCTACCTCAGAGACTCAAATGGTAAAATGAGAAGTAAAAAATTATACTGTTTGTACACAGTGACTGTCAAAGTTGGGGGCCATGGGCTACATCTGGTACTCCTGGATGCAACCATATTATAAAGATGTAGGCTTATTTTTCATTATAAGAAAACAAGAGGAAAGTACTGAAAGTATTTATTAAACTTTTCATTTAATAGTCTGAGATGCTCAAGAATCTAAAATTTCTTTTAAAAGCTAAGATAATATTCACCAATAGGTAGAACTGTCTTTCTTGGGTCTTGTACTGAAAGAGCTTTTTGTTTCTTCCCTTTCTTTTTCTCTCTCTCTCTCTCTCTCTCTCTCTCTCTCTTGCCTTCAAGTGAGTAGAAGATTGATACTAGGAAACTTAGGCAAACCAAAGGGGAGTCAGAATGAAAATAAGCAGGTTTTTTTTAGGATTAAAAGGCAAGAGCAAATGAGATTTTGTTTATCTCTTAGGAGGGAGGACTTGTAAAAGCTTGCTTTGCCTTTTAGTGACAAATGAAAGCCTTACAATGGTACTATCATTAAATAAAATAAATGAGGATTTGATTTAGTGATTCTTAGCTGTTCTGTTTAAGAGTGACTCTTGGACTGCTGGTAGAAGCTATGTTTTGGGAAGGAGGTGAGCAGGTACTCAGTTGTTGCTAAGAAGTTGTAAATGTCTGTGACTGTTTTAAATTTTGTGTTGAGGTATTCTCCTATACTTGTATTAAAGGTTTAATAAGCTAATCGTTTGGTAAGCTGCAACGTAATTGAACAGATTTTTCCAGTGGCCAGTGCAACTCAAGCTAAATAGCAAATGGTCATTAACTTTGCTTCACTAATGCAACTGTTCTATGAGCCATTCTCCATCCAAATAGACACTGTGATATTTTTCTCTCTGAAAATCAGTTCAAACTTAAAAAGATTTGGAAAAGCTCTCAGACTAAATATACTAGGAAACACTAATTATACTAAAATGAAAGTTAGAAATGTGTTAAATGTTAGGAAATTTAAGTGAAATGCATGATGAGGAGGTTTTGGTCTAACACCAAGGAATTTCTATTTTTTCGCCTGTATTGCTATGCACGTTTCTTGCTCCTCATCCTTTTCCTTCCATCATGAGTCAGGTCAAAGTCAACAAGGTTTTAATGCCATGAAAGAGTTTCTGGTATTACTTCAGGCACCAGTATAATTGTTTCCTTTGTGAACCTTGTCTAGCTGTTACCACTAGAGGGATTGTTTGAAAAAGTTGTGCAGCTTTGGATCAATTGTCATTCCAGGCAGTTTTCATCCCAGTTAGTTTCAAAAGCTTTGGTTCCTCTGTTCTTTCTATCTCATAGTTGTTTTTTTGAGCCTGGCGGTTAAGAGTCTTTCAGTGTAAACTCATGAGCGTGGACCAAAGCAGCAGCCTCAATCCTCAAAAGAAGGAGCACCATAAATGTCCACCTTACTCCTCATACTAATCTCATGCATACATCTCATACATACATTCTCATATTTTTGCTCATCACTTCACTTCTTGATCATTTTAGATGCCTATATCATTCAGTCTCAAGCCTGAGCACTTAGTTCTGAGAATGAAAAAAGTTGAAAAGCCTTTTAAATTCCTTTGAAAACTATCTAGTGTAATATGATTGTATTAACTTTGACACAGATAGGGGGAGTTAGTTTTGAGTTCACAACTGTGACACTTTGTTTCACATGTTTAGACCTTGTAGTAGCAGTTCAGGCTGTGGTGAGTTTTAGTTGCTAGCCTTTTGAAAGGTTTTTCTGAAAGATTTTTGAAAGTCTGAAAGACAGGTATTTCAGTTAAAGTTTTAATCTTGGGGCTAACCAGGTGTCCGCTTCCTTTTTAAACCACACACACAGTTTGAGATGCAGTCCAGTAGATGCTTAATATATGTGTTTCTCTGTTAACCAGGGAAGTAGCAGTGGCTAGCCTTTGGTAATTTTTCAGGATGGAGCACAAATGGCTTGTTTCTCTGAGCAGCCAGAAGCTGTTCCAAAAGATTTATCAGTGCCCAGCTAGGGAACCTGAGACCAGTTAATAAATGTCCTGCAGTACGTCTTCAGAGAAGTAGAATAAAAGGTAAATTCAGCATACTACAACCTTAGTTAGGTTTTAAAAAGTTGTGCATCAGCATTTCTGATGTCCACCTTAAGTAAGATTTAGCACTGATTTAGGTGTAACATAAATACTGTATATCTTATTTTATTTAAACTTCTCTTCTATGAGGGAGCAAGATTTCTGTAATCAAACTGTTTGCCAGTCTCACCAGCACCTTTGAAGCTATTGGCCAAGTTGCAATTAAAAGGGTAGTGGTAGTCCTAAAATAGATACTACTGCTCATTCCTCACAAAACTTGCAGCTATGTGAAGGCAAGAGGCCAAGCTAAGGAAAAGACTAGTAGAGCTCAGCCGTTAAGTTTCTGACATAGTCAAAACTGACTCACTGAACATGTTTATATAGCTCCAAATTATTTACAGTGCTGTGCTGCCCCTTCTTATCCAGGACGTGTCGGGGAGCGCAGAGATGAATTAAGGATTAATGCAGGGAGTGGGAGAGAGTACTTAGGGAGGGAAAGCTTACATCTTGTGAATAAAGGCTTTATTAGAGTCTGACGAAGGGGCAATTTTGTGTAAAGACAGCAGCTGAATAGTGTCCCGTGATTTATGCCTTAACTGAAATTCTGAAATGAGGAGATAAGGCCCTGTCTATACAAGGAACATCTCCATACACGAAGGCCCTTAAAAACTTTGTGGGTCGTCTTATGAATTTTCATAATTTTCAGCTGATTAAAAACAGTTATTTAGGAGTTTCCATAAAAAAGAACTGTATCTGGAATAACTTTTCTGAACTAGTTTCGCAAACAGGCTATTCACTGAATATAGTATGGTATGAAACCTGACGTGAGGTTAGGTTGGCTAACAACCGTATAGCTCATCCTGTGGCTTCTGGAAACATTTACTATTTGTTATTTGCCTTGTAAAAGTGGGACAAGGGTATTCATTTGTTTTCATAGCCATACTAACGTCATTTTTGTCAAATTTTCTGAGCACTAAAAATCTTGTGTCTGTAACTTTTGCTGTAGTGTTTGAAACTTGACTAATGCTTGCTCATATTTTACCAAGATGTAACAAATTTAGCATTCTCCATGTGATTTGTAATCTAGTTTCTGTAGCACAGATTAATTGTATGTACTCTGGTACTTCATTGATCCAACCGTGGCTGTAGCTTAACTTATTAAGCATGAGGACTCTGTATCAATACAGCATGCCTATATCTTGTAAAACTGTTCAGAGATTGACTTATTTGCTTTTAGAGATCAATTGTATATTTGAATTTAATTCTTTACATTGTCAGTGATTTAGACTTGTAAAAAAAACAATACTCTATTACAGAAAAGAATCATTTCTCAGGGGTTGCACTGGCAAGCTGAACTGGTTTAGTTAGTGTACTCTGCTCAGTGGTCGTTTTTGTCTGAGATCTTGAAGGAAAATCACTTTTACTAAATACATTTGAAATTTGGCAATTACAAAACCGAGGAACCTCTCTGTGGGATTTGTAATTATGAACATGCACAACAAATGGCACTGATCATAGTTTTACAATATTTCAGTGGCTTAGGCAGCTTTTTTTTTTTTTTTTAAATTGGATGATTTTCATTGACAAACACACGCTCTTAGAAGTACTGACAGAGCACCTGTATCTTCATTATGAAAAGTGAATATAGATAATTAATACTGGCAAGTAATACACTTACTTGCACAGCAATCTCAGACTGAAATAAAAGATTCAATGCAGATTAGTGTGGTTTCCAAGTCTAATATTGTCTAGTATGAATATAGTACTTTCCAGTGCAACCTCTGAACTACTATGCTAAATCTCCTCAATGATCTTTTACTCCCATCTTTCTCATCATGCTGACTTCTCTCCTCTGTCTGTTCAGCAGTGGGAGACATTTAGCGAACGCTCTTCAAGCTCACAAACTCTGACCCAATTTGATTCTAACATTGCACCAGCTGATCCTGTAAGTCAATCACTTAGCTTGCTTGTTTGAAATTAATTTTATTAACACCAAATTTTCATACGTTGTATTTAGCTGTTATGCATGGTTCCATGGACTGCTTTTTTGGGAATGGTGGCAGGCTTATTAATTTTTTTTACTTATGTTAGGAATATAAGTTTTCTGGTAGTATTCACTTTTAATATCAAAATGCAAAAAAAGGCTTTTTCCTTTATTTTGTTGCGATACTCCTTTCAAACCTGTATTATGCAAAGTATTTGAATGTAAGGGTTTTCTGAAAAAAATTTGTAAGATAACTCAAGGGCCACTCCCAATAATAAATCAATTCCTCTTCAGATTTTCTCTTCCGTGTCTTTTCTAATTGCAGAGCTTGATTTGCACAAAACCTTAAGAGTTAACAGTACCAATTTAAGAAAAAAACTATCAGACCTTAATGGGTGTGGTATTTCGTACTGCTAATGTTTTTACCATGTTACTTATTAATAGGGCTTTTAGTATTTCTCCAGCTAAATCCTTTGCTGTTTTAACGCTTTAGTGAGGAGTGCTCTGAATGATTATGTAGTTAAATATTTTGCCAAGCTTTGGAGCCAGAAATTTACTGCAGTGCTTCAAGTTCTGCTGGTTTTAAACTTTACAGCCTGTGACACTGAAGCTGTTCTGAAGTGCATTAAAATTACTTCAGTATTTAGGTGCTTTCATCCTGCTTTTCTCGCAGATTTAATTATCACTTTGTTAGTGTTCATTTTAATTTGTTCATATAACAAAAAATAATAGGTACACGTAATACTCATTTCACTGCTTCTAATATTAAACAGGTCACTTGTGTTTAAAAAAAAGTATATAGGTGCTCTGTACTCTCAGAATTAACACTGATATTTATTAGAAATAATGTTTCTAGGTGCTGGAAGCTAGAATTGAGACTGCACTGTTTCCAACCCCCAGAATCACCCTTATTAAGTATATTTAAAGCAAATTAAAATGTCATACTTAAAATCCAAGCCTTTTTCATATCTGTGATACTTTTTCAGTTTGCCTGTACTATAGTTATGAAGTTTTAAAGAAGTGTATATAACTGAAATCAGTGCCTAATTTTGCTATTGTATACAACTGCACAATAGTAAATAGCTATCACTGTATTGGTTCCACAATAGGTTAGTAATGTATTTTTACATATCATTAGCAAATGACAGAAATCTTTTCCTCATACGTGGATAACTTTAAAAGTAAAACTATGTTAAAAATATATGGAAAACATATATGTAAAAGATCACATTTTTGAAATATTTTTCTTTACTCAGTCTCCAGTACAACTACAAGCGTGGTAGGTTTTTTTTTGTAAAGAACGGTGAGCATCTTTGCTTGCTAAAGTAACAGTCTTGAGGATAGATACTTTAGAGGCTTTATTTTCATACTGCAGTTAAGAAACAAATGACATCAAATTTCTGTTACTACCATGCAGGCTTCTCGTTTTAGGAATCTCAACAGTGATGCCATAGGACTGAGTTTCAGAACAACTTATTGGTATTCTCCTGCATTCCCAAAGGAGAGTATAACCTTTCTTGAGCGTTTGTTAAAAAACAACTAAAGAGTAAATTCATAGACTGCCTCTTTTCTCTTACTGTTGATGAAGCAGCTTCTTTGAAGGGAAGAGAAAGATAAGTGGGAAGAGTGTAAAGCACATTCATTCCTCAGTATAGGAGCGTAATCTGCCTATTTTAAGTGAAAGCTGTTAACGTGTTTAAGTTGCTTTGTGTATATTGATCTGTACTAATACTTTGTGTGAAGTTCATTTAACTTTTTCAGACAAATGAGGTTTTCAGACAAATGAGGTTTTTTGTATTAGCTGCACGTTAGATTAGAGCACAGGAGCAAAGTAACTACAGCAAGAGTGATCTTTGCTTGGTAATCCCATTATTGGAAATTTCAGTATATTTTTAATTGACATTCATAAGTCGTGTTACAAGAGTGAGCTGTTATTAGGAAGTGATCTTAAAAGTTTATATTTACAAGGGAAGTCGTACAGATCAGTTTAAACAGTTATTAGAAATGATTCACGTAAATGTACTATGCTTTGTGAAAGTGGCTTGCTGGAATAGTCCAATCAGGTTAAGTTTCTGATGCCTGAGCAGTTTTGAAACCTGTTGATATATATCTAGAGAGAGAATATACTCTGTTCTTTGTGCTGTCGTTGGCCCATCTGTTCACATATTCTAAGGTTAGATGACAGAAAAAAATTTCAAATGAGTATATGTCCATATTTTTGTTGTGTGTGGACAAACATGAAAGCCGGGGGATTTTTTAAAGCTATCTATGCTTGATCTCCAAATCAAATGGAAAGGGCTGTCTGTAAAGTACGTTGTAGTAATTTAGTCTCTTATCTGAAATACAAAGAAAATGCCTATGTGTTCAAGTCAATGCCTATCTAAAGATATATTTCATAGTGTTTACTATCCTAAAGTTTCAAGGATTTTACTGTTTTAAAGATACCTGAAATTATTTGGCTTAAACCGCTGCGAAGTGTGTGTTTTATAGCGAATTACTCATGCTGTTTTAAAGAGCCCATAAGTTTTGGGGGCATTGTCAGTAAAACCTAAGAAAGGAGTTTTTTTGAGGCTTCTTTTTTTATTATTTTTTTATTTTTTATTTTTTTGGGGAAGATGCATTTGAAGTGACAGGTGTCTAGTATGCCAGACGATGGTAGAGAGCTAACAAAGTACGGGTCCTAATTACATCAGTCACAGTTAACTGTAGAAATATTTCCAGTGCCCTTTTAAAATTGAATGCTAGGTACACTTTATAAATGTTTAGAGTAACCTTGGCTCATACAGCTTTGGGTTTATGGGTATGTTCAATTCCTTGAAACTCTGTAGAAATTAAATTTATGATTTTTTTTTGTTTGGAAATTGCTTTCACATGGTGTGAGAGACTTAACAAAACAATTTAAAACTAGATTAACATCACTTCCTCCGTCTCCTCCACAGGATACTGCAATTGTGCACCCAGTTCCCATAAGAATGACTCCAAGCAAAATCCACATGCAGGAAATGGAGCTTAAAAGAACTGGAAGTGGTAGGCTATTTTGCCTTGCTAATCAGGAAAGTTTTGTACAATTAAAGTTGGCTTTGCTTCCTTAAAAATTCTGACATTTTTTCCATGTACTTAGATAAAAAATATTTGGAATTGTGACCAGTGTAACTATTCATGAGATGATTCTCTGGGTTCAGAGTTAGAGTACTGTTCTATTATATGCAGAGTTTGAGTTGGCTGTTTGCTACTGTGAGGATTTCCCCATCTATAGGAGATGATTCCTTGCAGTAGTTCAGAAGCATGATAGTATAGGTTTGTTTGTGACTCTGGGAGAATGCTTAGGTTTTCTCGTTAAATACTGGAGGAGGCTGTGCAGATTGAGAACATCACCTGTGTTTTGTAGTTAATAAAAGTGAGCTGTGAAGACATGGCTTGCTCTACTGCAGTGAGAAATACTGAGTTTGTTCCTTTGAAACCTGACAGCATTTGAAAGGATTGGTAGGCCATTTTTATACTCTGGTCAACAATAAACAAGCTTGCTTGATATCTTTTCTGGAAGAACAGTGGAGTCCACAGTCTCAACTTACGAGTGTGTTTTAATACTCCAGTATTTCATAAACTCATGTAACTTTTGTAAAGCTAATAGCGTATGAGAATAAGCAAGTATGCACACCGTATTTCTTTCATCATTTTGCTTGTAAATAGGTAGAGATTCACAACTCTGAACACTGAGAAATATAAATATGCTATTAAAATGTAAAACTTCAAAAATAAAATAACTTATACATAAAAAGTGTTTAAGTGATGACAATTTTAGTTTGAATACAGCACTTCAGTTTAGGGGAGAAAATTCTTGTAAAGCTTTGGCCTGAGAGGTAAAGGGTAGTTTGAATACATTTGTTTATTTAGACTTATTTTTTCATCTAGATCACGCTAACCCTACTAGCCCATTACTTGTGAAACCACCTGATCTCCCGGAAGAAAACAAAATGAGTTCATCTGTAAAATTTACAGCTGGAAATACAGTTAGTAAGTATCAAAATACTTTTGGATGTCACTATTACATTATGCAAACTGTAGAGCTGATAGTTTTTCAGTGAATGAAACCTTGCTAGATGCAAAAGCCCTGAAATGAGCATAAACTTAACATGAGAATAAAGACATTTCTAACATGAAGTATTTATTAAAAGTAGTTTAAAAAAGAAAAAGTACCTTTGATGTCCTTGGAGATGTTTCCCTCCAACTCTTCCTGCCTTCCTGCTATCTCTTCTCAAAAAATGTCCGTTTCCTATCAGCTGTTTTGTCCTTTTTGTTTTCTATTTTAATTTCAGAATGAGAAATTAAAATGTATTGAAAGTTAAATTGAATAAGTAGCATTTGATTCTACTTCTCAGACGCATGTATCAACATTTTTTTCAAAGAAAAAAACCTATTAACCACAAATTTTCAGGCTGTTTTCATCTATTTTAGCTCTTAACAAAATGTGATCGACTTCCAGATTTCTTTTGTAGGTACAACTTTTTAACTGTATATTTACCCATGATAGCTTTTATTTATTTAAGCACCTTCTACATCTAAAACTTTTTCTTTATTTTAGTTTGATTACCCTATTTGTCTAGTATTGAGGGAAGTCCCAGATCACATGTAGTTCAAGTGTCTAGAGTCTGTTTCTGAAATAGTTTTCCCTTTCTCTTTAAGTTGGGAGCTATCCTTCAGTGAAAGGATAAAGAATTCCTATTAAGATGGAAGTATTTTGGTAGGTTGGTAATACAAGCATAGTTTAGAAGGTGCCTTTTTGAAACAATTTTTCCTTTGCTTGTGAGCTCTGTTTCAGTGGCACTATTTTCTTTCATGGTAATTTCTTGAGCCTTTCTGTCTTTTTCTTTCACAGCAGAGCTCTGTTCTTACTAGTAAGTCCTCTGATACAAAAGAAAGATCCTGCAGGTATACAGATTTGGGAAGTTTCAGGCAGTGTATTGGAATATCTACCTCATACACTGAGACACTCCTTACTTAAGCTTGGTAGACCTAGAGGCAGATGCAACCGAAACTTAATATTCTCTCTCACTGACATTGAACTTAACAGGTCAAAAGCAAAAGAAAGCATAAGCAAACATGCTCTTGTAGTGGGGTAATTACTTCTATATGCAGGATCTAAGTTCTAAGAGCCCTTCCATATTCCTCTTCCTTTATCTGAACATAGGCTAGTCCTCCAACACAACAGCTTAAAGTTGATAAAACTGATAAAATAAAAGGCATGTAATTCTAGTTATACCAAGAACAACTCTTCCCTCAGAAGAACGTGTTGAAATAAAACGGATTTCATTGCTGTGTAACGAGGCCGCTCTGTAGCACCTCAGACTGTAGTTGCTGTGGGAAGCCCATCCTTTTTCTGAAAAAATGGCTCTTGTAGGTGTTAAAAGTAATTTAGATGGTTAACACCTTTAGGGTGAATCTTGAAGAAATCATTTAATCTAAACTCACTTTAGAAAGTGAATTTCTGTGATATTTAAAGACGATGCAAAGAATGTGACAGGATTTTCTTTGCAGACTTGCTGTCTTGGTAGTTAAATTTCCTAAGGTTCTTTTGAGTCATAAAGCAGCTTCCATAGTAATCAGCAACAGTGTCTGTAGTGCACTTCCTTGAGTTACTGGACTGATCTCATTTTTCAGTGTTTGCTTTAGTTGTGTGTTTTGGTTCATCTGTGCCAGAAGGCACTTAAGAATAGAGTGCCTTTCATTCTTTCTTTTAAAAGAAAAAAAAAACAAACAAAAACAAAAAACTTAGAAAAAGTTTTTTGGATATATTTCAGTTTTTGAAGTGTTGTTTTATACATGGACACTCCTGACTCAGAATATTTTGTTCCGAGTGTTTTATCGCTCAGAATTTAGATGTAGGTTATTTTACTTCATATAGCCTACTCTTATTGGGTCAAGATATTAAAACAGTATTTGAAACTGAGAATGGAGATTTATGAGCATGAGCCTGATATTGAGAAGTTTGCATTTTCTCTTTTTCGGTGCCTTGCATCAACAGTAATTCAGCCTGGGAGAGATGAGTTTGTAGTTGTAGCTCAAAGCTGATCCAGGAAAAAGGGACGAATTTTTTACATGGCATAAGATGAGAAAGAAGCCTTTAGGCATAGGCTTTCTGTACAAGTTAAATAATATGGGACACAGAAGAGTGAATAAACAGCCTTAGAAAGTAAGAACTATTCACTAGTAATTCTTCTGATTACTGGACACCCATTCTGCTAAAGCTGTTATGCAAGTAAAATAAAAGCAGGAAAGAAATTGCCATTTTCCCGGATTGTTTTAACTTTAGAGCAACATGCTACTTCAGTATATCATGAAAAACAAGTTTGTGAATATGTTCATTTAAACTCTGATTAAATGATGTACACAAGATTGCCAAATACTGCGGTTGGAATGAAAAGATAAACTAAATTGTTATGTCCCTTCATATGAATATCAACTAACTTGTATAATTCACACGGAATAGTAGAACCATCCTTGAGGGGAAAATTACATTGCAAATTCTATTTATATACCATTTACATATGGTATATAAACTTCATATATGAACTTTTCCTGACTATCATGCTTGTGTTACTGGAGAAATACTCAGAAGGATTCAGTTAGATTTAAGATGATGTTCAAACTCTTGTAAGTTTGAATTAGCCAATACTGGTGTAGTATGAAGATTATATTTGCTGAGTGACTAGCATTATATAAGGATTAAAACTGTTTACCATCCAAATCTTTGAAATCTAT